AAAACCTCTAGCTCAGATCCTGGAGAACTGTTGCTAGCCAGAGTAGACAACATCAAGTTTAACAGGCTGAAGATCTGACTCATTATAGGGCAATTTCATGTGTTCATTAGGTTAGGAGAGGAGTTGTGGCTCACTAGTACAGTATCTGCTTTGCATGCCTAAGGTCCCAGGTTCAGTCCCCAGGCATCTCCAGCCAAAGGAACAGGTAAAAGGAGCAGTGGGTGATGTGAAAGATCTCCACTTGAGAATCTGGATCAGCACTGCCAGTAAGAGTAGATAATACTGACCTTGGTAGTCAAGGGGTCTGACTCAGTATATGGCAGCTTCATGTGTGTGTGCAGTGAGGTTATCCAAGCCTGTAGCCAGGAAGCTTTGCCACGTGAGCTGAGAAAACCACTTCTGTCTGAGCGGCATTGTTTGTTCTTGTGTAAAGTCACAAGTGCAGCTGTCACATCCCCCAAGCTTGCCTAGGCAAGAAGGTTTAAACAGTAGCAGGATTGCCTTTGTGTAAATGCAGTTGCCTCTTGATGGTATAGTGTTGTGCTTTAATTCCTTTGGTACTCTCAGTTTCAGTGGTGGGCATCTCAGGAATGGCTCTTTTGGGAATTAGGCACAATAGCTCCCTATCAAACCAGGTTTCTGTGCCTGTTAGAGTGTGTTTACAATGTATATCATTCATTGGGATCTTTTGTACAATTCCTGTTGAAATGAATAAGAGCAGACTCTGCCTAATACTATAGGGCTGACACAAGAAATGTTCCCTGTGGTTTGTACCCAGGACTGCCACTTTCAAATCAAAATAAAATACTCAGTTGTTTCACATATAATACATTCGGTGCACATCTGTAGTGCCTGTTTGAACTGATTTTGCATCACTCTAAGGTTAAATGAGACATGCCCTTGATATAGCCGAGAACAGATCTTCCCAGCGTTTTTAAAGTGAAAGAGTAATGATGCAGAGCCCTGTTTCAGATCAGAGCCATGGTGCAGTGGAAGGGTGGAGCTTGGTCTTCCACCCAGTGTGTTTTTGCCAGTTGGAACTGACCCGTTATTAGCCTTGAAAAAGAAAACAGGCAAAAAGAGATTCTCTGGTTCCTCCCTTTTCACTCACTCAGTGACACAGCACCCTCCACAATTTCTGTCACTGTCAGCTCATGCAGTAACTCTCAGACGCAATAAATCCTTTAGCAGGCTTTAGTTAGAAAGTCAGGAAAGTTGCAGGTAAGTTGAACTCTTTGACAGAACTGACAAATATTACAAAGTGGGAAACTACAAGACCTTCGGTCCAGCTCTCATTCATACGTCATGATTACATAGGTCATAGGCAGGTTAATACAGTACAAGTAAGATGGTGTACATGTTATCACTTAGATCTCCTTGCAAGGCTATGAGAACGAGGAACGGCAAATGTTCCCTATAGTTCATGCGGAGGAGGTTCTCTTCTCACAGAGTTGCAGGTGCAGCTAATCTACAGTTCACACAGACATGTCTCCCTCCCCTCCTCAGGAAGGTCAGAGGAGGGCCTGGTAGACTTGATAGCATAACAGCAAGTGTCAACGGGAACTTGGGAACTACAAGCCAAGAGTGCCAGAGAAGCAGAGCATAGACAGAACATAGCTATGTACATCAGGGAACCACAGTAACCAGTATGAGGGGCCCGAGGACCCAGGCAAAGGCCCGATTCTGACAGTCACATAGTTTCATGGTTACAGGTAGGTCAGGCAGTCAGAGTTCACCACCTGTCTCACCTCTGTTTAATAGGTAGAGAAACCTGACCCTTTTACACACACAGGGTCCCCCCCCTCTTTCTTTGTCCCCAGACACTTCACCAGGCAGAGCAGCTCTGTTCCCTATGTCAACCAGTCCTTACCCAGACACTTCATAGAGCTGGGAACGAAACGCTATTTTGTTGACTTGACTTCAACTGTGACTTGAAGAATTCTGAGAGACCTCTGGAATGACTCTGGCAGTGAACCTGTACCAAATCTAATAGATTACACTATAGAGCCCATTGGAAGACCTGTGAAGTGGCAGTGATGGCGGCAAAAATATGTTACTTCTCTTCTACTACAGCATCAGCTAGCTCACAACCATCCTGATTGTTCAAAGTAGCTCCGCAACCGCTGACACCAACATCTTTGTCTTTATTGTCTCAGGAAGAGACATTTAGCTGTGGTACCTTTGCCAAGTTTTTTGCTGATAAAATATCGAGAATACGCTCTGCCCTGGATGTCAGTTGTAACGTAGGCACACCAGGACTCATGCACTATCATGGATCATTTTATCCCAGTTTCTGTGATGGATATCATGGGATGGAATCACTGAAAGCCACTATTTGCATTTTGTATCCTTGCCTATCCTAGCTGCTAAAATCATGTAAGGGCCACATCAGCAAACGTTTAATATCTATTATAGATCTGTCACTAACTCAGGGCACCTTGCCTTGGCCACTGAAAGAGGTAGCCATGGAAAGAGGTGACCAATTATTGCCTGCTTTCTAACCTGCTCTTTCTGGGCAAAGGATTGAGAGAACAGTAGCAGATCAATTCCAGATCTTCTTGGATAACTCATCTGCTCTAGACCCTTTTCAGTCTGGCTTCAGGGAGGGCTATGGGACAGAGACATCTCTGCTAGCTTTAGTTGATGACTTTCATCTGAGTATAGACAAAGGTTATGGCCCCATGTTGCTCTTGTTGCACCTATATGCAGCTTTTGATACAGTAGATCATACCATCTTGTTGAGGCGCTTGGAGGCAGAAGGAGTTATCAGGGGATGCGCATTGAACTGGTTCAAACTATTCCTCACAGAACTGACTCAAAGGGTTGCTGTGGTAAAACAGTTATCTCCAGTATTGGTCCTATCATGTGGAGTTCCATAGGGTGCAATTCTATCCCCCATGCTTTTCAATCTCTATGTAAAGCCCTTAGGACAAATCATTTGTATCTCTGAAGTTGGATGTCATCAGTATATGGATGATGTATCCCTATCCAAATCCACTGCCGATGCAATAGAGATCCTGAATATCTGCCTGGCTGCTGTGGTAAATTGGATAAGAGTAAACAAATTGAAACCAAACCCTGAAAGGCAGAGGTAATGCTGGTTGAGAAGGCGAGATCTTGAAGTACATTGTGCTTCCCACTTTTGATGGAGGTCAGCTGACCCTTGCTGACTTAGTTAAGAATCTTGGGGTTATAATTGACCCAACTTCATTACTGGAGAAGCAAATTAATGTAGTTGCAAAAAAAAAAAAAGACTTTCTTCCAACTCACTTTAGCCTGAAAAATGATCCATTACCTTGATACATCTGATCTAGCTACCTGGACCCACACTATAGTAACATTAAGACTAGACTACCTGCAATGCACTGTACAATAGTGTCCCCTCAGAATCAATTTGGAAATTCTAGCTGGTGCAGAATGCCATTGCTTGGCTATTACTAGGAGCTAGATGGAATAATCATATTACTCTCATCCTGCAGTCACTTCACTGGTTACTTGAAAAATTATTAGGGTCTTACAGGTACATGTGAATGTGCCTGTGCATTTCTTTCCCTGAGACAATAGGCATTCAGTCAGAAGGGTTAATGCAAAGAAAAGGAGTTCACTTTATTGAAGGGGGTGATTCACAACTGGGGAGTGATTCCTAAGTATAAATATGACAATCCTGAGTTTACACTTTTGAACTCTTAATTCCATTCTTGCTTCCAGGACTCTTCGCTACAAAATAACTTTTCCTCAGCAATTCTTCTGGCTCTCCCTAGCTCAGCAATGTCAGTTATTACTCAGCTACGCTCAAACTCCCAACTATCCCTCAAAGGTTCTGTCTCCCCTCTCTCAACATTCCGTTAGCTCCCATTGGCTGAACTTAGGGAAAGGAACTAGAGCTGTCTGTTACCCTCCCCTTCCCCTTTCCAGAGCTAATATTTATTTTGAGCAAGAAAAAGGTTTGGTGTAGTGGTTAAGTGCGCGGACTCTAATCTGGGAGAGCCGGGTTTGATTCCCCACTCCTCCACTTGCACCTGGCTGGATGACCTTGGGCAAGTCATAGTTCTGATAAGAGCTGTTCTTGATAAAGAGCAGTTTCTGTCAGAGCTCTCTCAGCCCCGCCTACCTCACAGGGTGTCTGTTGTGGGGAGGGGAAGGGAAAGGAGTTTGTAAGCCGCTCTGAGACACCTTCGGGTAGTGAAGGGCGGGGTATAAATCCAATCTCTTACTCTCTCTCTCTCTCTGTCTTACCACAGAGAAGGCTAAGCCCTCTCTATTACTTGCACAGTGGCTAAATTTCAAATCAGGGCAGCAACACTTCCATTAAAATGCTGAGAAAATCTGTTCACAGCTCTATCAGTGTTCCATCTAGTATGGAACTTCAGAAGCTTGGAGCGCCAGTTCTGTAGACCTGGTGTTACTGCCTTGTATTTTGACACTTCTTGACTCAAGACCGGTTGATACAGAAATGTACATGACTTGATTTTTTGTTGCTTGAATCACTCAGCGTAATGACTTACATAGGGTTACCATACTTTGAAAAGTAAGAAAGAGGATTTATTCTTGACTGACTACTTCAAACAAGTGACCACTATGACAAATCTAATTTTAAATACCCAGTACTATTTAAGCTGTGATAATTGCTATTAACTAGGAATATTCCTAACCTTCCAACCCCAAAAAAGGACCTGTTATCTGTTTTTTTAAAGAGCCCAAAAGAGGATGGACTCCAAAAAAAGAGGACATGTCCTCTGCTAACTCTAACTTACAGGTGAAAAACAGTAAACTGACTCCATTGAAGAGCACTGTGTTTGAGGTGATACAAAATGGATGGTTGTCCTGTCAGTGGTGGATCATTCACACATTCTGTTGGAGTCTATAGGGTTAAATAGTAGTCATCATTATTTGACTCTAAAAAATGAAATCTGCTTTCATGTGCAACAATTGTAAAGTTGCTTTTTTCAAGAAGATGAGAGACCATCACTAAACTTAACCATCTGTTTACTCTTCCACAGTTCAGAGGTAAAATGCCTCCTCCATGTGATCCAGTGTGCAAGATGGTAGAGTGGATACTTAGAGTCTGGCACCAGCTGAACTCGTGCTTGTCACGCCTGGGCGCACCTGAAGCACTTATTGGGCCAAAACATTTCTTTTCTTGTCCAGTGGTGCCTGGTCACAACCATAGCACAGTGAAGTAGGTCTTCTGTTTCATCTTGGTCAATTCTGCAATGTAGCAATATGCTTCAACTGCTTCCATCTCTAATTCACCACCAATAGTAATCCATTTTTAATCTAATTAATTGTCATGGATTGCAATTGCTAAACCTTTTGCACCAGATTTCATTCCTGGGAAAGTAGGAATGGTCAACAGAAGGCGTCTATTCTGTTCCCTCTTTTAAGAACTAAAGGGGAGTATCCAACCAATCTCAAGGTCTTGTGGAGGGAGGGTTATTTCACTCAAATATCCTCTCCTTCTTGCCATCCTCCAACCTGCACAGCTTTTTTGGTTACATTCATAAATACATGCAAAGAGCATGTTGCTTTCTCTGTACCACACACTTGAATGGTGAACCTGTTCATACAGTAAACATCACATGTTCATGGAATTGCATTTGGCGCTCCTTAGATATCTGGGCCTCCTGTCCTGGTAATCATTCACTGAATAAGTAATAGTGCTGAAGACATATGTAGTCTCCAGCCTTTTAGATCCCTAAAAATATGTCAGGTTTAGAGTCACACTACAGAAATAATTTATTCTTATGTAGGCCGGGGGGGGGGGACTATCATGGTGCACAAGTGTAAGGTCTGATATTCTATAGACTTCTCAGCATGCTGCAAATCCCCACTTTCACTTTGTTTCAAAAACAACGTTTCTAGCCCTTATGCAAAGAGAAGCTTGATACAGATGGTCCCTGGTGAAAATGTAGATGTCACATGAACCAGGAGCACAGCTTCAGTGACCTGCTTATGTATTTACACCTCTCCATAACTACCACTGCTTTTAGCACACCATGTGGTCAGCATATGACTGAATGCTGAAATATCAGTTTAACTCACTGGGTAGTTTTCAGCAGATTCCTGCCCTCAGCCCAGTTCTTGGGCAATAAATGGGAACAAGGATTACTCCTCCTTTCCAAGAATTACTGAGAAGATGGGGAAGGACGTTGTGTTTGTCTCGATACTCTACACAAATTAATAATACTTTAAATAGGGAAATGTTTTAATATGGTCTGAGATCACTGCACTGCATGAGTAGTCAGATTTAAATATTTATTTGCCTAATAAATAAAACAAGAGTGAGCAGACTAAAAATAAACAAGCAGCAAAATTGCAAAGCACACGTCTGTCTTGAAAAACGTCAGCAGTGTTGATCTATTGAGCAACCATGCTCTGTTTCTCAAAGAGGAAACTGTTTGGCCTGTATTGGCAAGTTATATATCCACACAGAAAGGGCAAAAGAACTAAAATGTTTGACACTCAGGGGGTGCGTTCAGACAGGGCCTTTCTGCCGGCATAAACTGCACCGGTTGGAACCGGTGCAGTTTATGCCAGCAGAAACGCGATCACACTTACCTCCATTTTGCGGATCCCATCGGTGTATGCCCGCTCACACGCTGCGGGCATCGGCGTTTAAAAAAACACACACACACACACAGTTTGAGCATGCGCATAGGCAGCCAGTCACAGAATGGCGATCTTTGCGCATGCTCAAACCCCCCCTTCCCATTACATTTAAACTTTAAAGTTAAGGACTTACATTTAAAGTTTAAAGAGCACAGTAGCCTCCTGGAGGTCCCGGATGCCTCCGAAACGCTACAGTAAGGCCCTTTTCTTTTCTTTTTTTTATACAAACGGCAGGGCGAAGCTTCGCCCAAGCGCATATCGCCGTCCTTAAAAAAAAATGGCGGGCGAAAATCAGAAGCCTGAGGCTTCCGAACGGAAGTAGCTGTGCAACGGTGGAGAGCGATCAGACGGCGAGGTACAGCATTTACAACCGTTGCACTCAGGATACCACCACTTGGGACCTAGTGGCAGAGTGCAACGGTGTAAAGGGCTTTACACCAGTTAGGAACAGGAGGCAGATGTTCCCCATCTGAACGCCGGTGAGTACACCGATTGCAACCGGCACCTATACCGATGTAAAGCCCCCGTCTGAACGCACCCAGGGGGTCATGATATTAAAGGTGCCACTTTCAAAAAATGTGTTATCTTCTTTCTATAGTCCTTCTGCCCATTTCCCTTTTTCCATATCTAGTTTCTTGCTCCTAATACCTCAGTATTCTTACTTATTCGTTTCTCTTCAGATGTCTGCTTTAATCATATTTTATAAGCTAGAATCTTGGAAGCAAAATAAGGGGTCCTTGGTTAAATATGCCTCCATCCATTTTGTGTTAATCCACATTAAAAGTACCATTTAAGGAGAGTCACTCAAAAGGTGACCAGATTCCAAGGTGGGCAGGGCTCCTGTCTCTTGGCATTTGCTCAGGGTTTGTTTGTTTATTTATTTATTTTATTTATACCCCGCCCTCCCCACAAGCAGGCTCAGGGCGGCTTACAGTAATTGGTACCCTGTACCATAAAAACCATATACAAAATTTAAACAACTTACAACCACAACATTAAACATTAAAAACAATCCAACAATTAACAAAGTGCTAGTGATGGTACTCTTTTGATGGTAATCTTTGAATGATTCAGATGGTGTACTAGAAACTTGTGCACAGTAATTCAGTGATGCCAAATCTTGCCATGCAAGTAAGATGGACCCCGTTTGTCTTTGGTGGCACACAGTGGGTCAGAGCCTATCAGTTTTTCTGCTGGTGGAAGATGGAGAATGGATACCTCTCCCCCCCCCCTCCAAAAGACTATGGGGGTTGTGGGATCTCTAAGACAAAAAAACATGTGGGAAGGTAAGGAATGCATTGCGGAATCAGGCAAGATTGCCCACCTCTCTTGTGCCAGCTGGTATGAGATAGCCTACTGGGACAAATGTCTTCCAGGACTACCATGAGTGACACACACCCTACAGAGAGAGGAAAGCATTAACTTTGGGATTTTTTTCAGTTTCTGCTTCATACCATTGTGGTTTAATTTTAAGGGACAGAATGACAACATAGTAATCTCCAGTGGGAATGTATCTTTTATATCCCACTGTAGGGTTGCCACCATTATTTTTGATAAGGCTTCTGTGCCTTCAGCTCCTGTACAACTAAGTACAAATTCAATAGTGCTTCACACATGCATTTTCAAATCAGAAAAATCTTCCTGTATTAAATTTCTGGCACTCAGCAGGTGCTAAGGGTACATGTGTCATTAAAAAAATAAGGTGGCTACAGTCATTTCACCTATAATGAACAAATGTCTTAGGCTATCAGCCGGGCAATGAACAGTTACAGTCTTCAGTCAGTCTTCCTCTGGTGCTATTATTTCAGACAACTCAGCAAGATTACTCACCTAACCTACTTTTCTGGATTTGAAAGAGACTTTTTAAATGGTGCACATCATTGTGGTTTAAAAAATTTCTCCCCCACTTTTCTGCTTCAGAAACAGAAGGCAGTTCAAGTCCAAGTTGCTGGGAAAGTGTTAGAAATGTCCTGTGTAAACTTGGAGCGTCCCTACTTTTAAAAAGGAAAAGCTGTCATTAATTTCAATAAAGACAGTGATGTGGTTGGAGCTTGGGTGGAAGCCAAATATGAAAGGCTGTGCTAACTTCATGTTAAGGGAAAGTCACTGAGATTCCAAGAGGCCTTTCTTTAGACTTCTTGGGTTCCAGAGCAGCTCTGCAGTTCAAATTAATCTGGGATGGAAAAGCAGCAAAATGTAGTACTGAATGCACTTTCCCAAATACCTCAGGATGATCCCAGATGTAGGAGAATCAGCATATTTCTCACCCACATTCTGATAGCTGGGCAAATACTACTGTTGTGCCTAAACAGCAACGGTTGTTCTAAACACTTTGAATGAGACACACCTTTTATGGTTTGACATGGGTTGCCAGATTCCCCATGGCCACCTGCAGGGGATTGAGGGCTTAGGCTTGCCAGATCCAGGTTGGGAAACTCCTGGAGATTTGGGGGTGGAGCCTGGGGAGGACAGGACAGGGAGTTCAGTGGGGTACAGTGTCATAGAGTCCACCTCCAAAGCATCCATTTTTCCAAGGGAACTACTCTGTAGTCTGAAGATGAGCTGTAATTCCAAGGGATCCCCATGTCTCACCTGGAGGTTGGCATCCCTAGTTTTGACCCTACTTTTATGGCTGGGAATGAAATCTAGAAAGATTTTCATTCAAGGCTAAAACACCCAAAAATCTTTGGGTGCAATCACTGCAGTATTTTTAGCATGCCAGAGAATAACATTGAGTTATGACTGCATATGCCTTCCTCCCAAGCACTTGAAGGATCTCCTTCAATGTTTCAAGCATGTCCAGTCATGGTGCCTTTCTTTTCACTGTGTGCTTCCAGGTGGATGTCCAAATTATGGAATGCTGTCATCGCACCCCGAGTTCAAGAAGCAATTCTCTCAAGAGCTTCTCTGAAAAGACCAGCTGCACTGGGACAGGCAGCAATCAAGAAAAGTCCAAGCCAAGGGCAGCAGGCTGTGGTGAAAGCTGCTCTCAGCATCTTGTTAAACAAGGCTGTTCTGCATGGCTGCCCTCTTCCCAGAGCAGGTGAGACACAATAAATGAGTCAGTGCCTAGAACAGAAGGCCTAGAATGAACAGTGTAGCCTTCTGCATATGTTCCAGTCACATGGTTGACCAATACACAGGGAATACAAACACATTGCTGCTGCTGCCAGCACCCTGCAATCATGGAGGAAATCTGTGCTCAAGGCATTATTCCCATGATCAGGAGCATTCAAAAAGCATATGTGTGTAAACTTTCTCCGCATATAGATGTCATGCTCATACACCAACAATTGCATGGAGGTGGTGAGCAAGGTCAGGCTGCTCATATCTGCTTCCCCACATGTGTGTTGATGAGATATATGATTGGAATGTATGATTGGAACATACAACAGGGTTTGTAGTCCAAGAGCCCTGATACACATCAAAAATCCAAACACAAGTTGATATCTAAAATGTATAAGATATTGTTACAATGATATACAGAAGATGAAACAGTTAAAGAGCAGATGATAAAATGGGCAGTTAATATGAATAAAGAAATATATATGCCATCTTGGGAATTTTTATGGAAAAATGCAATGAAAATATCAACGTGTAATAATTTAAAAGAAAACTGTTACAAGATGATGTATAGATGGTATATGACACCAAAAAAGATTGCAAATATAAATAGTAATATGTCAAACAAATGTTGGAAGTGTAAAAAAATAGAGGGCTCTTTTTATCATATGTGGTGGGCATGCGATAAAGCAAAAAAAATTTGGGCTGAGATTCATGCGGAGATGGAGAAAATTCTGAAATGTAAATTTAAGAAAGAACCTGAAATATTACTGTTGGGACTTAAAATGGAAGAAGTCAACATGGCAAAAAGGACTTTGATGTGGTACATGATCACAACTGCTAGAATGACATATGCTCAATGCTGGAAGCAAGACAGAACTCCCGAAATTGGGGAGTGGATAAAGAAATCTGGAAGCAGAAGAATTTTTCGCAGACTGGATAGACTTTAAAGAATATTTAGAGAAATATTGGGATGTAAAGAACAACTTAATTTGCTTTGATAACTATTGAAAAAAGAATGATATTAGAAGAAGGATAAATGTATAAGAATAATAGTTGAAAAATATGTTACCTGTAGAATGTGACTAACGAGTAAGGGGGGGAAAGAAGAGAATTTAAGAGGTGGGCTGGAGGTTGGAGCACTGTGGGAAGTCAAAAGGGGTGGGGAAATAGGAGAAAAGGATGTATAACAATTAGTAGTATGATGTATGTTTGACCTTTTAATATAGCCTAATAAATTGGGTTTTTTGGGGGGGGAAATCCAAACACATTGAAAATCCAAACAAATTAATATTTGAAACTATAATTTGGAGTGAAATCAGAGGTGGATTCATGAAATGTTTTCTTTGAAAACTCCAGATGGCTGGTGATCAGAAATAAGCATTAAGTAGCCCATGGTTGCTTACCAGTCAGTTCTGTGGCAAATTTAATCCCTGACTACAAATATTTGAGACTGACAAAGAGCCTTTTCAATTTTATTGTATTGCTGTGGAAGGCAATAGTTTTTGGGGTCATTTCTCAGCACTACAATAACATTTGAAGGCATGACCAGAAGGGTGGGCCTAGCAGCGTGGAGTTTTACCATGGAATTTTTCTCTGTTTTGTTTTGTTTTGGAAAAGGCCCCAAGTGTTCGCTGTTGTAAAGAAATTCTTGAATTTCTCAGTTTACTAATTTTTTTGTCCAAAGGTTTTCTGTATAAGTCTCTTAGTTCTACCAAATATTTTTCCTTCTTGCCATAACCTGTTCTGTATTTTTCTAAGCCTCCATTTTGTTTTCTTCATATTATCTGTCTTTTTCTGTAGATCTTTCTTTCCCCATTTCCCATGCTTCCATTGTCTTTACCATCTGTCATTGGAAAACATTCATTTTAATTTTGAAACTGTGTACTGTATTTTTTTGCAGGACAGTCAGACAAGTCATTGTTGGAGCTTATCTTTATTGACCAACTATTTAATCTATCAATTTATTCTTAAAGCTTTTTCACATTTTTGTACAGTTTTTTAATCCCAGGAATCACAGTGACATCTGTTTTATACAAATAAAAAGTTTGAAGAAATGGGTAAAAAGGTTGAGGAGAGCCTGCAGTGTGTAGTAGTTAGAGTGCCAGATTAGGACCAGGGGACCTGGGTTCAAATCTTTACTCATCCATAAAACACTGGTCGAACTTGGACCAATCACTCTCCCAGCCTAATTTACCTCACAAAGTTATTGTGGATGAGGGAATTGAAATGTATGTTGCTCTGAATTCCTTGGAAGGACACAAATGCAGTGGAGACATAGAGAGGACACTGGAGCATAGGTAGAAATGTTAGTGACCTTGTGTAGTACTTTGGACATGATGTGCCACAAGATTCTCACTGCATCTTATTTCATTTTCAACGTTTCAGAACTGGATCGGTACATTCCTGATTTTAAAGGAGGAAACTTCCCTCTTTCCGTGGTAACGAGCTATAAAAATTGCTCCAAGAAAAAGGGGGAAAGCGCTGCTTGGAGAAAAGTGAGCACAAGTCCTCGTAAGAAGTCAGTCCACTCCTCAGCCCAGTCGTGGAGTAAGAAAGAAGAAAATTTAGAAGGTAACGGTTGGTACAAGTAGAGCCAGTGGAAATATTAGCCATTACAGAAGCTGCAGAAAGTATCAGGAAACTCTGTTTAAGACAGAGTTACTCATCAGAATTTAGGGTGCCGGCCTCCAGATGGAACCTGGAGATCCCCTGCTTTTACAACTGATCTCCAGCTGTCAGAGATCAGCTCCCATGGAGAAAATGGCTGCATTGAAGGGTGGACTCTATGGCATTGTACCATGCTGAGCCCCCTGCCTTCCCCAAACCTTGCCCTCTCCCAGATCCACTCCCAAAGTCTCCAGGTATTTTCCAAGTCAGACATGGCAACCCTATCAGAATTCAGCTCCAGCTCTTTTAATGTCTGGGCTTTTAACCAACTTTTATGCATGACCCACTGAGCAGTTACGTTATGTGGATTCTCTTAATTTCAGAGTTCACCACAGAACTATGTTAAAATTTATGGCAGATAGGTATCAGTAGTGCCTCATGGATGACTTTTGTTGACTGTTCATGTTGTGCTTGCAAGACAGCCACTCAGACTGTTTTTCAAAGGTTCCTATGGAGGCACACAGCTGTCTGAAGAGTTCCTTCAGAGGGTTCTTAGGAGACACTTGTCTTCCTGAAGAACCATTGGAAGCATAATATTAGCTCTGGTAGACAGAAAATGCATGCAAAATCTTTTTTTTCCTTCACTTTTCTTTGCATCAAAGTAGTTCTAGTTTTTCATTTCTCTAGGCACTGGAGTGCCATCAGAGCCTTCAAGAGCATCGTGACAACCAGCCCTCAAAATACGACTGCTTAAATCAAGTTCTGTGTTTTAACTGTGCAGCACTGCTTTCACAAATGAAGCTAAAGCTAAAGTCTCTTTAGACCAGGGGTGTCGAACTCGTTTGTTATGAGGGCCGGATCTGACATAAATGAGACCTTGTTGGGCCGGGCCATGTGTGTCATAAAATGTAATGCCAGGTAGCAGAGATATAAACTTTATAAAGGACACAAACGTAAAGATTTTTTTTACTTAAAATAAAAACATGCTTAAAATATTAGCTCTGTAAGCCGCAAACCTACTTTTGATTTATTGAGATTCACCACAGAAATCTCATGCTCAGAGTTCTGAGTCTAGGACCCAGGTTAAAACATGGAATGGCTGAGTGATTAAGAGAGTCTGGTGAAGCAAGCTATGATGCAGCAGCAGAACTGGAAGCAGGAGATGGCCAGTTCCACTGCGGCCCTGATGGAAGCCCTCCGGGGGGCTGATGTGGCCCCTGGGCCACATGTTTGACACCCCTTCTTTAGACAATATACTGGTAGGGGTAGCTCAGTGGTAGAGCATCAGCTTGGCATGCAGAATGCCCCAGGTTCAATCCCAGGCATCTACAGTTTTGTTTTTTTATAGAAATTAATTTATAGGTTATCAATTGAATATTCAACGAAGGTGAGAGGTCCTCATCCAGTTCCTGATTAAGATCTATATGCCACACCTTTTGGCAATGCAATAAAATAGGTGTTTTAATGTCGAGTAGAATTGTATAAATAGTGGAAATTAGACCTGTAAAAGAATGTGTACCATTAGTTAACAACTTTTCAAACTCAGTAAGAACTAAACGTAGTCTTCCAAATTTTTGAGTTTAACAAATTATGTATTTGGAGATATTCAAACCGTGGCAATTTCTCTTTATGTAAATTTTCTAAAGTCGTCTTGTCTTTTAAGTAACCCTTCAAGGTGACATCTATAATTCTTGTAATGTTAAGTCTCCTTCAGAGCTGAGAGGAAGAATTTCGCCTAGCTGGTTGAAACCAGCTTTGTCCTGTGAAGTTAGTCAGAAGAGAAATTGGTGGGGTCAGGATTTTGCTATACTCAGGGGTCGTTTCGTAGAAAAAGAGCTAGGGGAACTCATTAGCATAACTCATTAGCATATGCCACACACCCTGACATCACCGGAAGTGTGTCATAAGGTCACACCCCCTGACATCACCAGAAGTGTGTCATAAGACCACACACCCCGCCCCCAACGGTCCCGGCCGCGGCCTTGCAGCTCCACTGCCGAGCCCCATGAGGGGCCCGGCGGTGGACCTGCAAGGCCGGCGGGAGTGCAAGGAAGCCCCGAGAAGGCCCTCCCTGGCCCCAGGCAGGCAGGGATGGGGAGAGGCAGGGAGGAAGCAACTTACCCTCCCTCTTCTCCTGCCTCCTCCTGGCTGAATGAGGGCCGGAAGCAGGGGGCGGGGCTTCATCATGTGCCCCACCCCCCATACCTCACCCGGGGGAACTGCGTTCCCCCGCGATCCTCCCCGAAATGACCTCTGGCTATACTTATTCTACACCTTAAGAGTAGCCTTTAAAAATAAATTGGGTCTAGTTTTTAAAGATTTATAAGTCCTATGATTCCACAAGTCTTCTTGAAAAAATTTGGTAGGAAGAAATGTTTCGTCAATGCCTTTCCATTATGCACTATAAGAGTTTCAATATTGTTTAACTAAGTTAGCCAAGAGTATGGCATCATAATAGAGATGTACATCCTGTACTGCTAATCCTCCAGATCGTAGAGGCTTCCTAAAAGTCAAGAAGTTGATTCTCGGCTTTTTGAAGTGCCAAATAAACTTCATAAGATCTCTTTGCCATTTCCTAAGAAGAGAATATGGTAATATGATAGGTATGGCTCTCATATAGAAAATCATTTTGAGAAGGATAAGAGATTTTACTACTTTGATTAGTTCTAAAAGTGTCAGCTGTAGGTCGTTCCAATGTTTTAATAGGTCAAGAATTTGTGTAGATATTTGTAAATAATTCACTTGTAAAAGATCCTTTAAATCTAAGGGTATCTGAATTCCTAAATATCTAAATGATTAGGTCACCCATTTATATTTAAATTCTGTTTTAATGTGAGCATCAGAGTCCTTGGACTGAGGGCATCTACAGTTAAAAGATCATGTAGTGAGTGATGTGAAAGACTTCTGCCTGGGACCCTGGAGAGCTGCTGTAGGTCAGAATATACAGAATGTACAATACTGACCTTGAGAGAGAGAGAAAAGTGGTCTACTAGAAGGCAGCTTCATGTGTTCATGCTTAGTGTAGTATGTGTATGAAACTGATATTTGCACAAGGAAGGGAGAGTTTAGCCCACTCCATCTATCACTATCTCTCACTGCTTGCTCTCCACATTCATTTTCTCTTACACACAAAAGCTCTGGGAAAGAGGTAGACAGTTCTGCACATTTGTTCAATCAATGTTTTTTCATTGTCCCTTGCATTTATTATGATGATCACAGGCTGCTTTTTCTTTTTGTTACTGTTTTTTAATGGAGACTTTTGCTGTGACATTCATTTATACTGAACCTAATACAATTTCAGTTACAAATTTAAAATAAGTAATTAGTTAGAAAAGTTTTTAAAAAGTAATTAAAGTTAGAGAATTGTGTAGTGCAATAAGAAGTTCTTGTTCAGAGGTGGAGAGGGGAAAACTCCAGAGAAATAGCAGTTAAGCGTATACTACTGTGCTTGCTCCCTTCTTCAGAGTGGTTGCTATAAATTACTTGAGGTGATCATCATAGTATGTTTAATCTCCTTTGGACTGATGGTAGGACCACTGGAACCACAGCCTATCTATCTGCTTTTAGTAATCCTCATTATGGCTCCACCCAAGATGGAATGAAGAAAGAGTTAAGAGATCTGAAACCCAGGGGGGGAAAGCATGACCTCCACTTTCAGGCCATGGGTCACCAATTCCTGTTACAGAGTTTGTGGACTTCTGAGGATGGGGTGTGAGACGTTTGGTTATAGCTATAGGCACGTGTGGATTTTCTCTCTTCTTAAGTAATTTCTTGTTTAAAATGAAGAAGAGGTCAAAATTATCTGCAGAACTTAGTCTTCTTTCTTTTCCCATCTTCCTCTTCTGTAGGAGTACAGTCAAAGAACATATTCCGGGAAAATGGCAACAAAATGGCCTCTCTGACAAAAAAGTAAGTTACTGGGGGGGGGGGGTCCCTAAAGATTTAACCAAGAATAAAATAACTCTTGTGTGAGAGAGAGAGAGAGAGAGAACAATCTTTTCTTAAGCCCTGCTCTTTGTGCCCCCTTTTGTGAGAGATGATGCAGATGGAGGCCAGAAACTGGGCTTCTTTGATGTCCGAAAGTGCTGTGGCTCAGGGATAGATCATCTGCTTTGCATGCAGAAGGTCCCAGGTTCATTCCCTAACATCTCTAGTTAAGAGGAGCAGGTGGTGTGAAAGACCCTTACCTGAAACATGGAGAGTCACTGCCTATTAGAGCAGGAGGCTCCATTCAGTTGTAATGGCTAACAGGCAGCAGCGGACTTGTCCTCCATAAATCTGTATAGCTCCATATCTCATGACAGTAACTACCAAAAGTCAACCACCCGTTATGTGTACTTTATTTATTTATTATTTATTTTTTAGATTCATATCCCGCCCTCCCCCGAAGGCTCAGGGCGGCTAACAAGACAGCACGAATGCCAACATTAAAACAGATAAAAACAAGATAAAACAATATAATTGTACTTTCTTTTGTCTGTACCTACTTTCTCTATACTACACGTAATTTTCTATCATGTCATTCCTCAGATATATCAGTGGCTTTTACTTAAATCAACAGTACATATACCCACATAGAATTGATTTTAGTCTTAATTTTGATTTTGATTTTTTAAAAATCACAGAACTCAAAAATGTTGTACAGTTTTTTGTGATATGCTTTTTTTGTTTTTGAAGAAATGTTTTAACCAGTGTATGAAATTCAAGCAAGAGGCTCCGCACTCTGCGGAGGGCATTTCAGTTGGACCACAGCCACCCAGAAAGGCTTGTTCCATATTATGGCTGATTTTATCTAGGAGACAAATAGAGGAGGCTTTAGGCTTGAATTTCAGCAGTAGAGTGGGTCATTTGGAGGAAGACTCTCCCTAGCATACATGGGGGTGAAGTCATAAAGGGTCTTAGAGATGATCCCTGGTGCCCCTAAGAGCTATTTGTTTACTATAAATAACTCCTTGAACACCCTTGAAAAAAACTATTACCTTCTTCACTGTTTTAGGTTGGCATCTTTAATTCACACTGTTCAGCAAATGAAAGTGTATTTTTATTTGTTCTGTTTTTCAAGCTCTCTAGAGGATGATCCACTAAGCATGGACCAGAGGCTGTCCCTTGGTTCTGATGATGAAGTTGACCTTGTACAGGAGCTTCAGAGTATGTGTTCAAGCAAATCCGAGTCTGACATAAGCAAGGTAAATGCTGTTTATTTTTCTGTTCCACATAATTAATAGAACCATCTCAAAACACAGCACCGTTGGCTCATTGCTTGATTTATCCCAACCTTCTTACCTTCCAAATTCCCTTGTGATCTTTGCTTTCAAACACTGGGAGTATGCTCCTTACTTTCACTCTCTAGACTTTCTCTCCTCCAATACCTTCCCTGATCTGTCCTCACCAAAATCACTGATCATCTCCTTGCTGCCATATCACTGCCAAATCTCTTCCCTGCCCCAAAAGCCTCCGTGATATTTCTGCTGCCTTTGATAACATCCATTCCTTGACTCCATTCATGCCCTTGACTTTCATGGTTCTGTCTTTATCTGATTCTTTTCCTATCCCTTAAACATTTCTACAGGGGAAGCTCTCTGAATGTCTTCTGCTGGTGACCCTCAAGATATGTTATCAACCCTCTGCTGTTTTCCCTGTTCCCACCTTGATCAAAATCTCAGAGCTTTCAACTCTGTCCCTCTACTCCCTAACTCTTCTCCTCTGGTTTATGTTTTAGTCATTTCCTGCTGCAGCATCTGTTACCAAATCCCAGCCCTCTCACTTCTCTCCAGAAGCCTGCCACCATATTGGGGAAAGGAAAATGGCACCAATGTGGGTGGATCTGGAAAAAAGCCCACACCACTGCAAACATGCTTTGGCTGCAATCTTTCAAAAAAGATCATCCCAAAGCAGGTTTAGGAAAGACCCAGCAAAGTGGGAGGAATGACAGAAGGTGCATGAGTGCTTGGTGATGCCACTGGGCAGGGGAGGGAGCTTCTGCCTGGGGAGCAAAACAGCTGTGTGGAAGCAGCCTTCATGTGATATGAACTAAAATGCTTTACAGGCTTCCATGTATGAGGATGACCAGTGCTGATCTTTCTTTCCACCTCATTCAGATTGTCAGTTCAAAGGACGAGCTGATGGTGATGATCAGTAATTCTCAGAAGGATCCTGTGCTTTCAGCGAACATCATCAGTGCAAATACATCAGCACCCCAGCAGGTACAAGACAAACTATCCTGCACATAATTTATGGGTGTCTAAGTGTAGTCCAAACCTAAATCTAGAACTGTTCTTTGTATTCCAAAGTGTTAAAGCCATTGAGTACAATCAGTATGGTTGCTTCTTAGTTAATATTGTATTGCCCTTGTGAAAGTGGAACCTTGCCAAACCTTGTAGGAGTTCCCCAGGCTACAAGACAATGACTCAGCTCTACCCACCTTCTGGAGTAGATATAAATTTACTGCCTACCATTTTCTTCTCACCTTGACACAGAGAGTATTCCATCTTTCTGTGTTTATACCGCTGAGGATGCCAGTCACAGTTACTGGCGAAACGTCAGGTTCTACAATGCCAAGACCACGGCCACACATCCCGGAAAATCTACAGCAACTAATGAACTCTGGCCGTGAAAGCCTTCGACAAGGAGTAATAAAATCTTGAGATGGCCTTCCCAGTATTCATAGCAACAACAGAATTCAAGTGCACCTTCCAAGAAAGGCTTGCTTGAAAAATAACTCCTAGATATTTGAAATGTTCCACTTGCTCCATGGGTTGACCTACTTCTGACCATTTGTACTTTTTTATCCTCTATTTTTTTTCCTGAAAAGAACCTTTGACTTAGTGACATTAATAGCTAAGACCTCATTGGAACAATACCCCAAAAAGGAACCTACAAGCTTATGTAGGCTGACCACAGATTTTGACAGAAGAGCAGTATTGTCTGCGTATAAGAGACAGGGTAATTTAGCATGAGCCAGGCAAGGTGAGTGAAATTCATCTCCAGAAATATGAGAACTTAAATCATTGAGATATAAGTTAAATAGCAATGGAGCTAGGATATATCTTCGCTTGACTTCTTTACTTAATGGAATAGCCCTGGTCAGTTCACTAGATGGACCACATCTCACCCGGGCAGTAGGCTGATCATATAGTTTTGGATCAGAAAAAGGAGATGCTTATCAACAGGTGATTTATTTAGTTTGTCCCATAATCTTTGACTAGGCACTGAGTCAAAAGCTGCTCTGAGATCCACAAAGGCAATGGCTAACATACCTCTTTTGAGCTGGTATACTTGTCTACAATAAATTGAAGAGTGTGGCAATGGTCAACTGCACTAACTCCTCTACAGAATCCAGTTTACTCTTGACAGCCAGTATGGCTTCATCCTCAATCCAGAGAAGTAACTTCTTATAGAGCAAGGGAGCATATAGTTTGCCCACCACTGATAAACTTATGAGCCGATAATTATTTGGGCCTGTTGGATCGCCTTTTTTTGGAAGGAGGAAGAGGGGAGATTGGATTTATATCCCACCCTTCACTCGGAGTCTCAGAGCAGCTTACAATCTCCTTCCCTTCCTCTCCCCACAACAGACACCCTGTGTGAAGTAGGTGGGCCTGAGAGAGTTCTGAGACAACTGCTCTTGAGAGAACAGCTCTGAGAGAACTGTGGCTTTTTTGTGGAGGGGGGGGGAATCAAACCGTGTTCTCCCAGATTAGAGTCCACACTCCTAACCACTACACCAAACTGGCTCTTGTTGCATGTTGCCACAAGGTGGGCATAATTCCTGTCTTGTTGATTTGAGTAAATACTGGTGCCAAAATCTCTGCCTACCAGTCAGCATTTGCTTCAAGGAGCTCCAAAGGTATCAGGGTCAGATCCCGGTGCCTTGCCAGGTTTCATTTGAAATATTTAAAATTTAATTTCCGATACTGTGATCAGGGGCCATTTCTCAAGCTTTAGAGTAAGGACTATTTGGGCAGGGATACTTTCAGCAGATGGTGTCGTAAATAAGGCCTTGAAATGCATCTCCCAACAATTAGCAGAGATGTAACAGAGGAGCGGGGATCTAGCTTGTTTGCAATCATATCCCAAAAGATTTTTACATCTTTTCGTTTGGAAGCCCAAATTTCCATGAGGTAACTAGAGCAGTTCTTTTTTTGGTTTTGATAAGCATTCTGAATTTACATTTCTACAAGAATATCCATTTGAGTATGTCTCCGGCGGAGTGCTGCCATATGTAACAGTCCGGCTGGAAGCAGGGTGGGGAGGCAAAGGTTAGGGATGGGAGCAGGCATTCAGGGAAGCACACTGGGTTTGCACATGGCAGAGGCAGGCGCTGGATGTGCATCTGTGCACTTGCACATGGGGAGTAATATTTTGGGTGGTTGGAGAATGCCATGGAGCTGGCAGGAAATAAAAGTCTGCAAAAGGCAATTAAATAGAGTTGGCGTCTTTGGAAGGTGGCAGTGTTTGAAGACTGCTTGTGGTGCTGGGGAGCATCACAGTTCCCCTTGCAGTTCAAGCTTGTTGCTGTATTTGGGACTTTGACAGAGGGAGGTGTGGGATTGTGTAGCTGAAATGAACCCCATGCTCTGGAGGGCTGGGGGGAAATAGGTATATGACCCCCTCCCCAAAAAAAGCCCAGTTAGAGAAAAACAATGAGAAACTCAAACTTACTGGCACTTAAAAGCGAGTATTCAGCTTCAGACACCCACGAGCCATGCTCGCTCCTACACTGTGAACCTTGCAGATGGTTCAGTTTCCGTGGCAACAAGGATCAGGAAGGGCTGGTTGGAAGTGGCACTTGGGACCCTAAGTTGTTGGAAGGCTTTCTCCCTCCTTGAGCTTAGTTCTTGATACCTCTGTAGTACACAAAAGCGAAATTACTGGATCAGAACAACTGGAAACTGATAACCAGAGAGACCAGGTTGATCCACAAGAGAGTGCCATCTCTGAAGGGTTCTGAAACCATGTACTGACAGACGGGGAGGGGGAAGACATTTGGCAGACAGGGAGAGGGAAGGCACTATGAGTCAGGCATCTGCAGTCCTTGTCATCAGGAGAGCAAACGAGGGACTGGATGCTTTGTGCATAAATAGGGTGTCTGCAAGTGAGAGACAAATACTTCCAATGAAAATGTACATGTATCTATGTTTATGGATGGCGAGAGAATTAAAATACTTGGACCTTACTCAGGCCTGGCGTAACCCCTGCAGGAAAATGAGGTGGTGGAATTGACTGCACCCTGCTGCCTGCCCCTCTGCTCTAGGTGGTGGATTTAGTGTTAAAAAAGAAAAGAAAAATTTGCTCCAGGTGGAAAAGCAGTTGAGCTGGGAGAAAGCTTCAGCAGCTTCTTTGTTCTTGGTTTGCTGCTTTTCTATCTGCACTGAGTTTTTGACATAGAGGAAATTCCAATACTGGATCCTTCTCCTGCAACCTGAGGTGGTTAAGCCCATTCTGCTACCTCAACATTTGACTGCCTCATTCTCTCGCCTGGGTAAATCACCGTACTTCGCATGCAGTACAGAGCTATATGTGTCTAAGTCCATTAAAGTCAGTGGGCATAGAAGGGTGTAACTGTGCTTAGGGTGGTACTGTCAGTCACCCATTAGAATATAAAAAGGATGAAGGTACTTGTACAAAGCATGGAAAGCTGAGCTGTGTGACTCATATATTCCAATGCTCCCTGATAAGATTAAAAAAACCAGAAAATAAAACATTTTAACTTTTTCCCTTTACTTGGGAGAACGGGTGAGTTTCCAGCGGTAGCTGGGAACATTCTTCCGCTCTGTTGATTAATCATGAGTATATGAGCTGAATGCAGGCTTAGTTACTGTCATCTCTGCAACAGAGATACCCAATGTGTGCTGTGAGCAACCTACCTTGGGTCAAGGGTGTAGACTTTCCAATTTCCCAGAGGGTGCTGGAGCTGGGCCAGAGGCGTTGCTATGCTAAGTCCTTAAAAGAACCAGGGCCCAGTCACATCATAGGGAGGAGCCAGTGACATCACAGGGAGGGGCCTCCATTGCCACTATCTATGAAGGCAGGGCCCTGGGAGATTTAGAGAGGGGCTCCCCAGAAATTCAAAAGGGCCTGGGCACCCCCCCTAACAATGCCCCTGGGCTAAACCCAGGAAAAGGTAGTAGTTGGCCAGTTGTTCTAGTGGTATCTCAGTTATCTCCTGCTGTGTCCTGTGTTTGAAATTTACTTTTAGAATAGTCACTTCAAGATCTGCAAATATACATACAATGTGCATAGGACAAACTAATGGTCAGAAATTTGACACTGAGAAAGGCAACACAGAAAAGCCTGTAGGGGAACATTTTAAAAATTCTTCTGGATATTCATGTACAGGAGTTTTGTGCTTCAGCTGTCATCAATTGTGACTGAGTCCCTCATGTGAGTTTGTCAATATTGCCTGGCACAGGTTGCCTAGGGGAGTCTCAGCACCCCCTGGGAAAGTCCGGGGGGGCTGCTTGAGCCCCTCAGCACCCCCAAAGGTTACGCCTATGAGAAAGGTGGGGCTTATAAATATTTTTAACACATTAATTACATAAAAACGAATAAGTAAAGTGCATTGACTTATGCTGTGTAATCTTGAGTCTCAGTTAGAAAGGTGGACTGCTAAAGAATGTAATAAAATTTCCCCCATGCACACCTTTCTTCACAGACATTACCCATCTCTTTAGGAGGGCAAACATTTTTTAAGTTGTCCAGAATTGTGCTCCAGCCAAGTTCAGCAGCTTTCAGCAGTGAAGGTCATGCATTTATTAGCAGGTTTCTGTCTCCAAATGAGAAAGCAGCGGGCCAGCTTTTCAAAGTTCCCGAAGGCAAAAAGCAGATGGCTGTACTGAGAAATGCCTGGGATTCTTCCATCTTGCCGCTCAATGCAGTTTGTCATCATATGAAGGGGGGGGAGATGAGAAGACAAGATATTTATTTCAGAACAGAAATAGAGAGATTATCCTCCATCATGGCCAAACTTCAAGGCAGAAGTTGCTTAAGAAGGTGGGAGAGGGAATGAATTTAGTCTAACAAGCCATGCTTTCAGGGGTTCTCCTTAGCTATGGACTCTCTTCAGGCAAAAATGCATTGTGAATACTGTTTCAAGTCACAGAACTGTGGCTCATTTGTTTTTTAACAGTGCAGCTACCAGGAACTGACATTAGTAAAACAATCACCTTCAAGCCACTCTGTACTGAAACCTATTTTAACATGCAAAACTCCAAACAAAAGTGAAATGCAACTTGTCCATTCATCAGGGTTGGAGCTGGATTGATCATCCTTTCACTTAGACACAGACAAGCAGTAACTTACTCAGAAGGTGTCCTGCTATAAACGTTCCTTTTTCATATTTGGAGGCTTGCGAATGTGGAAGGAGGTCAGATCGTGTGGTTCTGGAAGAGGTATACACGCATATGTTTGTAACAACATTGGCAAGAAGAGAGGTGAATTGAGTTTCCTGACATTTAAACTGTCTTTCATGTTCAGTTGTTCAGCAGTGAAAATTAAGAGTGAACCAGTGTGGTGTAGCAGTTAGATTACCAGTCAAGGATTTAGGAAACTCGGGTTCAAACCTTCACACTGGCATGGCAGCTGTCTGGATGACCTTGGCCAGGCAGATTCCCTCAGCCTAACCCTACTTCACAGGTTCAGCTGGGTAGCCGTGTTGGGTCTGAAGCAGCAGAACAAAGTCCGAGCCCAGTGGGGCACCTTTAAGTCCAAAAAAGTCTTATTCAAGGTACGAGCTTTCGTGTGTGCATGCACACTTATACCTTGAATAAAACTTTGTTGGTCTTAAAGGTGCCACTGGACCCAGACGTTGTTCTGCTACCTCAGAACAGGGATTACTGAGAGGACAAAATGGGAAAGGGAGAGCCATGTATGCTGTTATCAGCACCTAGCAGGCAGGCAGGATAAAAATGTCCCAGCTATATAGTCAGAAAGGGGTATGATTTTAAATTGAAACATCTCATTATTACTGCTGACTAAAGAGCGGATCTACATGTGTCAAAAAGCATGGGGCGGCTTGCGTAGAGTTTCGCCGATACTCCTTTTAAATGCATTGCTCAACTTGATTCATTTTTAGTTTCCGAACGCTGAGTGTTCTTCTGTCCCTGCTCCCCAGCACTGACTGCTCCTGTCGGAAGCGGCAGAATACTGCGCGTGAACATGCCACAGCACAAGGAAAGCTGGTGTAATGGGGTCAGCATCCTTGTGAGGCACCAGTGCCCTGAGAAGACAAACCCTAGCGACTGCCTGCAATATCTGTGTGTCTGTTTCTCTGGGCAGTGGCTGGGTTGGATTCCTGGCCACAATGAACACTGGTTCCACTTCTCATTCCCTTCTCTGTCCACAGGTCAGGGGGTGGGCATTGTGGAAGGGGAAACAGGGATCTTACCACAGGGCTGCCATTGTGTTTGTGTCATGTATTTTTTGATGGTGCATTAGCCGTGGTTCTCTGTAGCTGATTTTCGTGCATTTGTGAAAAACTGTATTTATTTATTTACATAAGTACATGTGGGGACCCATGAGGACTCACAGAAAGCAGACTCACACTGGCTTTCTCCCTGTATCCTCCCTGCCTGTGCTATTTCCTCTATTTCTCCCCCACCAGCCCTACAGCCTTTTTCTCTGTTTGGGTCTCTCCCTCCCATCTGTCTGTCTTCATCTGCCCCCTCTCCAGTCTTCAGCTTTCCCTCCTCCCCACTGCAGCCTTTCCCCCTTTTTTACTCTCTCGTCCACTTAACTCCCCTTTTCTGTCCTCCCCCACCCTCTCCACTTTCCCTGCTTCCCTCCCTTTCGTCTTTTATCTTTTTCAGTTCCCACCACCACCGTTTGGGACTGACAAAAACAAGAACTGGATGGCTTAATATTGCAACCCTGGGACCTCCTTCCCTATATTTAAATTGGTTTTCCCCCCATCCTTCCCCTCCTCCTTGTTCCCTCTGGCCGTTCCTTTCATCACTCTCTCCTCTCTCACCTTTGCTTGCTCTCGTTGTCCTTCTTTTGCAACCTCTCTCTTCCTCTCTTGCTCTGCCACTGCTGCTGTGGCCTCTTT